AGAGCTACATCAAGAAATGCTAGCTTTTTATCTCCCTCTGTCTCCAGGGTGAACCTTATGGACTTGTGAGCCTTTCTAACCTTTGCGTGATGTGGGTTGGGTCGTTCTCTTTATCCATTATGCAAAATACATCGACGACATATTGCTTATAGAATTTCATCTTTCTAATTTGGGATTCCTGGACTGAGTTCTCCAGTTTGGCCAGGAACACATCCATTATTATCCGTACTAGTGGAGAGCCTATAGCAGCCTTTCGACATCCGCCGTATGCCCCGTGGTGATCATATGCTCCACAGTCGAGATACAAATGACCTGCGATAGTCCTTTGCTCAACCAGGCTGGATGATGCCCTTGAATCCGTTGGATCAACTTCCGACTGGTGTAACCGATGTAGTCGGCTCCATAGGAGCACTTGAATTGTTAGACACACGTAAAATTGCTTGATAGTGTTAATCGATCCTTAGGTCTCTGAGCATCATTTACTAGCAAATACGGCACTCAGTTATAGGCCACAAAATCACGTACTTCAATGAAACGGAAATAATATGCGGATAATTTCTGTGCTTGTATGTTTGCGTATGGATGCTATGGATAATACAGTAAGGGGTATATGAGAGTTAAAATCAGTCCGCAAACGTCATTTGTATTGTCGAATGAATTAAATAAATAGACGACTTGACGGAAATGCAATCCATGGTTGCCGGTATGGACCTACAACTACTCTCCGATCCTGATTTCGCGGTCTTCTGTTAGAACCTTACCAATTTTCTCAACTATTGTTATAATGTGTGTGTGTGTGTGTGCTACCCTAAAATAAGGATTCACCGCTTCATCTCCGATAGACTGAATTGGTTAGGTAGGCTGGATTAAAGGGCGTATTGCTCTAGGGATAAACCGATTTTCGAATCTGTCAACTGTCATACCTGAAGCGAGGAAGCCCATCTCAATCGATTGTATATTGACATCATGCTAGGAGACAAATTCTGCCGTCAGCTATGGAGCGGACTGAAGTTACTCTGCGGTCGTTCAATTTTACCTGCTGCAATCTCATGTAACACAAATGGGCTCAACAAATCATTTGCTTCAGTGAAAAATGTTTGGAAGCTTTACCAAGTCCAAATATAAAGCCACTTGATTTCCACCTTCCTCTGACTGTCACAATAGAGCATCTTTTAAAGGAGTTGAATACTGTCAGCAGAAAGAATTCACTGGTCCTGATGGGTTATTCCCGTGATCCTTAAAACATGTGCAAACCACCTCGCTCTAAACGGTTTCATTCATCTTTATTGCATGTTCAGATATTTTTAAGGTTCTCACAGAGGAGTAAAATATCAAGCTTGAATAGTTGTTGCAAATCCGTACCTGCAACCATGGATTCTAATTCCATCAAATTGGTCGGATGATTTTGCCGATCACGTATCTTACGTGTACTGCTATTTGTGATTTCTAAATTCAGTCTCTCGTGCCATTAGATCTACTGCTCCTTCGTTATCTTCTCAGGTCTGTTGTCTTGGAGTTCCATATTGATCAGAGGCTCTCTGAAGAGTATCTCTAGGGTATGGAGCTGTCGCTTCAAGTAGCATCAATCGACTCCATTATCACCATTCAAGGCATGTGATTGTTTGTGCGACTCAATCTTGCCTGAGGCGTCACATTCTTTACACTCAACCTCCTCTCCTTCGATTTGTTCTTATGCCACCTTCAATAAATTTAAATCCTTATGCACTCGCACCATATATTTTCACAATTCTAGTGTACCAATGAACCAATGATGAACTTTTGAAAGATTAGCGTGTTGGTGGATCGTTGAATGTGGCTGATAATGTGCTGTACAACACACACACACACACACAAAATGATCGATTCCTCGCATATTACTATTATCCTTCTAACAACCAGGTTTTATCCTCTCATCCAAGATGTAACGGCATGCCTATCAATTATTTAAAACATCTGTTGGCTTGAAATTATTTTCTAGAGCGACAATCGATGTGTTTTGAAATAATTACAGGTTTGTTTCTTCAGAAATCGTGTCATTATTTTTACGTATTCATGCTAATGTTGAGTAGACGGAGTATATGAATCGAAAGGTATAGTACTCTAGAAGTTTCAGACCGATGGTGAAGTATGGATGTAAACGAGAATAGACAGGGAGATACGGACAGGGTGATACCGTCCGAACACTTGTGAGGTATTTCGATGTAGTAATTGCCCATCCTGCTCAACCCAGTAGCCGAAATCAGGTTGATGTTGCCCACGCCATTCTTTATTCTTGAAATCTTAAAAAGGATCTTCGATCTACCCGGAATTTCAGAGTACCATCAAATGTAGTTACATCAATCCACAGCCTGCTCTATTCATTCGAGAGTATCCCCCAAATTAATCAGCATAGAAATCTTTTAGAACATTTTTGAAACTGTCGATATGCCAATGAAAATCAATTAGTAGAAGTAGGTCGAAACCTGAACACGAAATCACTCAAATCAGTTAGCGTCCGATGAGCTCTTCTCTTGAATTTTGAAGATCATCAGGGCTACTCGTCATTGCCAGTGATGGCAGTTGCGCCGGTTGGTTACCACTGGGCGTAGAATACTTTCAACTTGTTGATCGCTGATCTACGCTCCACAGAAGATACGGTCGTTTTTGGTTAGAATCTAAATACATTTCAATCTGTTCTCAATTGCATCAGCCTCCCAGCCAATGCTATCAAGTTGAACATTAGTCTCACAAGAGACATGTCAACAATAAACTGCTTTTACATTTGAGGAAATTAGCTTGTTTTAGCCACGACAAACGGTTGATTGCCGTGTGAAAGTATTGGGCTCGGGTCAAGTATCGGTGACTATACACTGGAAGGACACACATACAGGACGATACCTCAACTTCCATTCTGACCTTTACCGTTCGTCGTCGCAAAGACAAGCTAAGTTTCTCAATAATCATGAGCACGACACCCAAGTTTTTCAGTGAGATCCGTTCCATCCATGGATCTCGTGTTATCAACATTATTATTCATCTACTTTTGAATTTATTATAAATCAAGAAAGAATCACGGAAATCGATTCAACACTTCAAATATCTTTAATCTAAAGTACCTCAATTAAGGGTCAGTTGACAGCGTCAAAGACAAAGTGGTGGTACTCAACCAACGTGAGCCCGTATGGAATTCTAAGTAATGCACATTCTGCTCGTGAAGGAATGACGCAGATATCCCAGACCAACTAAAATAGACGTTCTAGGATGAAAACGCGAGCAGTAGACGTGTATAGCCAAGGTTCTTCAGTATTTGTGGTTTCAAAGTTCAGTTTCCTTGAATTCTGCTGGACTGATTCGAGTATGACCCCATTAACTGCATCTTCTCCACATACGACACGCACTGCAGTTCCTTGACCATCTTTCTGGAGTACTCAATGCTCATTCAGATGAATGCTGATCACAAAATTGGAACAGCAAAGACTCAAATTTTACCAAGGACTAGTTCTAAGATCAACATGTCTGAGAGCTGAGGATGACGCCATGGGGCAATTGTTCGAACCGGTTAGGTCGTCTTGAGTCGAGTTATGTGGAAACTATGTATATTTAGGGAACAACAGAACCGTGTTTCGGTTTAGCAAGTATTTGATCTAAGAAGTATTCCCCTGATTCCGTAATTGTAGAGTTGTAGCAACTGTATGTCGTGGGTCGCAGAAGAAGAAGGGAAAATGCACTACATCTACCGCTTTGCCGAGGTCCACTGTTTTTTCCATTCCTATAGGGTCGGGAACAAATGAGTAATCACTTCTGTCGAAACTCACTTTGGATTGAAGATAAAACATTACGCTTTTCCAAGTGCCTCCACAAATGGTCCACATTAATTGTGATGATACCTACAGTTGATTAAACTGTCTAGCGCACATGTCCATTGAATTTTGAATTGATCAGACCATACTCCAGGCTACCACACCACAGTAGAACTGTTTGAATTTAGGTTTAAACTTCTGCGTCAGTTTTCTGGATAGATCAGCCTGCCTGTCCGGCGTCCAATTCATGCGCTGTTTTCGTAGTACGTAGTAGGCATTTAAAGTGCTGGTGAGAGAAAGTTGCCCATATGCTCTCCAGGAGAAGTTCTTCAGCAAAATGCATTCCTCTTTTAACTGCAACTTGATGAGTCTTGACCGATTGTGCCATTATTGTGTTGAAGTTTTGTTAAGACCCTCACCAGTTCTGCTAGGTATTTTGTACATTCTTCCCAGAGTAGTAGGAGATCACATTCTTCCTTAGAAAAAATAATCATGGGATATTTTGCGCCCTTATTTTAAGTTTGGCGTAATGAATATACTTACCTTCGCTATCCTTGAAAATTTTGTGTAAAGATACGCAGCAAATGTAGTCTAAGAACAGCACAGCGTGGACACTGCACACTTAAAGGGATACTGTNGATACTGTGAGGGAAATAATTTCCGCCATCGGTTCCTCATTTTTGAACACCGTCTACAAGATACACAATATCTTGTTAAATTCACACCTACCTAGTTCCCTCATAAGATTTTAAGTGGATGCGAAGCAATATACTGTGTGAATGGACACTCAAACGATAGCCAGATACAGGTAATTGGACTCATCCATAGTCAGGATACGCATGAAACTCAATGACAAAATATGATACGTATTTACATTTGGGTCTCTTCGACTGAGTGCATAAATCAGCGTGAACAATACCTCACATCCACCAAGCCAAAACTGAGTTGCCATAGTGGCCTTCTGCATCACAATGAGTCAGAAACCGCTGACCAAAAGTATGCAGAGAAACAGTTAACAAGTTTGCCAAAAAGAGCATAGGCTCTACCCGACCTAGATAGTAGCATTGGCGTTAGTAACAAACTGTGCTGTACTCGCTTAGCTCTGAAATATCTAAGTTCTTTCTTTGACCCGGACTTCGGATGAAACTGTATAAAAAAGGACCAGTGTGCTGTTATTGCTGTGAATGAATTGAGATATTTGCTGTTCTCTATAACTTTAAAATGCACTGTAAGTTGTTCAATGAAATTAACACTATATTTCACTCCGGTTTATTAGGTAGACTCTAAGCCGATGAATCACCTTCTGTATTGTTGCCATTGTCTTCACCATATAGCGCCTAATTCCTTTGGACCGGTTGCCTTCTGGGCGTTTCATCATTTGGTCTCATTGCGTACAACTTGGATTGTTGCACTTCGGGCACCTGTTACTTTGCAAGACAAAAACGGTTCCACGATGCTGCACCATGCCGCCATTCTGTATAATCGTCTCGATCCAGAAGACCAGAATGGACATCGGTGGATCAGACTGGTTATGCTTGTATTGCTTAATCGGGGTGTGCATGTCGCGGTGCGTGATTGTTGGGGTCGAACAGCCCGGGATTTGACGCTGTCGAAGACTCAAGAAGCGTTGTTTTCCGAGTTAAATGAAGATACAACGACTAATGCGGAAACGTATCGCAACTTTGAAGAGACGGTAATTGTGTTACTCAAAGTTTCGAAATATAGAAGTTAGACTCAATGAGGAAATAAAATGATCTGTAATAAAACCGGATTTGTCGCAACATTCAATTGCTGAGATAAACGACTATTTACTGGAATTTGCAATATGATACGAATGGCGAATAGTCAATCCATAGCGTTCACTGAAGGCATATATTTAAATTGATTAGATCCAACAAAGGAATGACTCGCAGGCTACTCTTTCATAAGCATGGGGAACGTTTCTATGGGCATTTGTTTAGCCACTAGTTCTTAATTGCTACAAGTGTGAACAGATTGGTGTAACGAAAAACTACGGCTGAAGTACACGAAATGGTTACAGAAAATTACAGTAAACAGGATGACTAATTTCATTATAATTACATCGATGATACCCATGTAATACTTATTCATTTTTCATAACATTTGTCTTACTGAATAACCAGACTGATGTGCCACGAACAGACGTAACTCCATGACCCAGTTAGATTTACGGAATGGGTTCCGATAGCCGAAGATATAACCAAGCCCTAAGGGTCAGTGAAAAACCTGCAGACAAACCTATATCAAAAGGCCAGAGAACTAGGCTTCTCCTATATTCCAAAATTCATCCAATCCCGTTTCTGGATAGAAGACTCGAGGAAATAAATGCGGGAAAGAGCAGTTTATCAGTCTAAAAACACCCACATGATGGACTTGGGTCGAGTTTTGGCCTTCAGAGAAGTGTTCAGACCGTAGTTGAAGTTGGCCTCTCCCCCAAGCTGGACAGTTTCCAGTTAATAGGGTGCTGTTTCGATCACCTTCCGAAAATTCTTTTGGTTGTTGGAGGCTAGGCGTCAATTATAAATAGGGAACCAATAAACATTGCTCCAGCATAAATGAAAAGGTGAACCTCTGAGATCTTAGGTGACAGGTCTGCTGAAGTTCCCAAGCTTGTACTACAATTGAATCCTTGAGTTGAATCCAAGCCTCGTTGCTTTTGAATTAAATAATCCGGTTAGCACTGCCAAGGAAAAACCCCTTTGACGTT